GAGTTTCGCTCTTGTTATCCAGGCTGTCAGGCTGGAGTGCAATGGCGCGATCTCAGCTCACCGCAACCTCCGCCTCCCGGGTTCAGGCAATTCTCCTGCCCCAGCCTCCTGAGTCGCTGGGATTACAGGCACGCGCCACCATGCCCAGCTAATTTTTTGTATTTTTAGTAGAGACGGGGTTTCACCATGTTGACCAGGATGGTCTCGATCTCTTGACCTCATGATCCACCCGCCTCGGCCTCCCACAGTGCTGGGATTACAGGCTTGAGCCACCGTGCCCGGCCAAGGCTACAGGATCTTAATCAATGAACTTGAATCCTCACAGTGTGAACAATTACCTGTGCATGCACTAAAGAGCTTCATTTTACTGTAAGGAGAAAAAGCAAATATATTAACAGTTATTAAAGAAAGCCCTTAGCCGAGAAGAAATGTATTCCTTCTCCTTTCTAATCCTTTATGTTTTTTTTTTTTTGAGACAGGGTCTCACTGTGTTGCTCAGGATGGAGTACAGTGCACGATCTTGGCTCACTGCAACCTCCGCCTCCTGGGTTCAGGCAATTCTCCTGCCTCAGCCCCCTGAGTAGCTGGGATAACAGGTGCCCACCACCATGCCCGGCTAATTTTTGTATTTTTAGTAGAGACAGGGTTGGCCAGGCTGGTCTTGAACTCCCAACCCCAAATGACCTCCCAAAATGCTACAATTACAGGTGTGACCCACTGCACCAGGCCTAATCCTTTTTTATTTGACTTCAAAGAAAAGCTGTATGTGAGGAAAGGTGGTATAAATAATACTGCACGTACTATCCACAGGCAGAAATCTGGGTTTTCTGGGCTGGGATCGATGGAGAGCCAAGAAAGGGAGTCTCGGTGGAAGGACAGATTGAAGACAAGCCGTGGCTGAAAGAGTTCTGAAAACTCATTAGAGAATTCAAGTAAAGAAAATGAGGCCTCATAATCTCTAGGGCTCTGGAAGCTGCTAGCAGGATGAAAGCCACGTGACTGGAGTCTTTGGTTGATTTCATCAGACAACCACAGAGTAGAGCTGGTAAAGGAACAACTCCTGGGAGAGATGTGATGCAACGGACTTGGGTAATCAGCTACACACCTGGTTTTTTTGTTTGTTTGTTTGTTTGTGGGGGAGGGGGTAGAGAAATGAAGAGCAGTAAAGTGGGGCTTCTGGAGGTCCCTGGTCAGTTATTTCAGTACTAGGCAGGCCAACTACAAGGGCCTTTCTATTGACCTCAGGATTGCTCCTGTCTAGTCTCCAGGGTTGATCTCCCCCTAAATATCCCTCCTCCTACTGTCCTCTCGTAGGCAAGGGATTAAAGATGTAACAGAAGGAAACTCATGTAGATACAAGAATTTAAATATCAGGATAGAAGTGGCATTTCAAATCAGTGAGAAAAGAGTCTTCTAGTCTTTAAATGGTATTAGAACAACTCGATATTTTCTGGGGGGAAAAAAGTCTCAATTTACACTATTCATGATAATGAATTCGATATGGGTAACAGGCCAAAATGAAAAAAATGAAATTAAAGTATTAGAAAAATTATAGTTAAATCACGCTTGTAATCCCAGTACTTTGGGAGGCCAAGGCGGGTGGATCACAAGGCCAGGAGATCAAGACCATCCTGGCTAACACAGTGAAACCCTGTCTCCACTAAAAAATACAAAAATTTAACCAGGCATGGTGGTGGGTGCCTGTAATCCCAGCTACTCAGGAGATGGGACAGGAGAATCACTTGAATCAGGGAGATGGAGGTTGCAGGAAGTCAAGGTAGTACCATCACACTCCAGCATGGGTAACAGAGTGAGATTCCATCTAAAAAAAAAAATATATAGTTAACTAAAGTTGCAGAACACCAAGCAGCTGCTAAAACAACCCTAAAGGAAAACAAACATTAGACGGTACATGAGACATGAGAGATGCAGAGTGTACATTTTTGAAACGAACTGCCTCTGTTATAGAGGGCTAAAAAATAGGCCTGGTGCAGTGGCGCATGACGGTTATCCCAGCACCATTAAGAGACTAAGGTGGAATAAGCACTTGCGGCCAGGAGTTCAAGACCAGTGTGGGCAACAGAACAAAGACCCTAATTCTTTTTTTTTTTTTTTTTTTTGAGACGGAGTTTCGCTCTTGTTACCCAGGCTGGAGTGCAATGGCGCGATCTCGGCTCACCGCAACCTCCACCTCCTGGGTTCAGGCAATTCTCCTGCCTCAGCCTCCTGAGTAGCTGGGACTACAGGCACACGCCACCATGCCCAGCTAATTTTCTTTTTTTTTTTTTTTTTTTTGTATTTTTAGTAGAGACGGGGTTTCACCATGTTGACCAGGATGGTCTCGATCTCTTGACCTCGTGATCCACCCGCCTCGGCCTCCCAAAGTGCTGGGATTACAGGCTTGAGCCACTGCGCCTGGCCCAAAGACCCTAATTCTACAAAAACTGGCCATATACGGTGGCTCACTCCTATAATCCTAGCCCTTTGGGAGGCCGAGGCAGGTGGATCACTTGAGGCCAGGAGTTTGAGACCAGCCTGGCCAACATGGCAAAACCTTGTCTCTACTAAAATAAAAACTTAGCCAGAGTACATGGCTATAATCTTAGCTGAGGAAGACTGAGGAACGAGAATCACTTGAACCTAGGAGGTTGAGGTTGCAGTTAACTGAGATCACACCACTGCACTCCAGCCTGGGCAACAGAGTGAGAACTTGTCTTAGAAAAAAAAAAACAAGCCGGGTGCGGTGGCTCAAGCCTGTAATCCCAGCACTTTGGGAGGCCGAGGCGGGTGGATCACGAGGTCAAGAGATCGAGACCATCCTGGTCAACACGGTGAAACCCCGTCTCTACTAAAGCTACAAAAAATTAGCTGGGCATGGTGGCGCATGCCTGTAATCCCAGCTACTCAGGAGGCTGAGGCAGGAGAATTGCCTGAACCCAGGAGGCGGAGGTTGTGGTGAGCCGAGATCGTGCCATTGCACTCCAGCCTGGGTAACAAGAGCGAAACTCCGTCTCAAAAAAAAAAAAAAGAAAAAAAAAAACAAAAACCCTACAAAAATTAACTGGGTGTGGTGGTGGTGCAGCTGCAGTCACAGCTATTTTGGAGGCTGAGGCAGGAGGACTGCTTGAGGCCAGAAGTTTGAAGTTATAATGAGCTATAATCAGGCCTCTGCACTCCAGCCTGGGTGACAGAGTGAGACCCTGTCTCAAGAAAAAAAATTCTAAGAAAAGAATAAACTAGGAAAGGTAAAAAAAAAAAAAAAAAGCCTGATGCAGTGGCCCACACCGGTTGTCCCAACTACTTGGGAGGCTTAAGTGGAAGGATCATTTGAGCCCAGGAGTTTGAGACTAGCCTGGACGAGTCCCCATCTTTAAAAAAATGAAATAATGTATTAGATGTTACCACTGCTGGTACTCATTAAACATCCTGCTAACAAGTAGAGATCCTGTATCTGTCTTGGGTTTGCCTGGCTTTGTCCCTAGAATTTCTGTAAGTGGAGAACACAGAACAGGATGGTATACTGTTTTGACAGATCATTCCTCTGCCAAAGAGTTTTCTTCTAGGGAAAGGAAGGAATGTCTTCATTGCAACTGATGAGAACAGTGTTTGTTTGCCCAGCTGTTGCTACAGCAGCTGGAAGGTTAGAGCGTCAGTGATGGAATTCCTCAGACAGAGGAAAGGGAAGCCTGAATGTCATTCTATAGTGAGAAAAACAGGTGTAGGGCTTTAGGAATAGTCTGAGGGAAGTGGACATACAGCTTCTAAAGAAAGAAAGGAATGAGGTGCTCTGGTTAGCCTACATCCTCCGCCACCAGTTCTCTAACTCTACCACATTCTAATGTGTCTCTCTCATGACTCTGCAAATAATGGAGCTGCCTGTTTTAATATGGGTCAGCATGCTTTGAGCTCCAAAGAAACCTGGCCAGGCTTAAACCAGTGTTCTTCAAATTTGGAATCAGGAACTCGGGGGGAAATTTTTTTTTTTTTTTTTTTTTTTGAGACGGAGTTTTGCTCCTGTTACCCAGACTGGAGTGCAATGGCGCGATCTCGGCTCACCGCAACCTCCGCCTCCTGGGTTCAGGCAATTCTCCTGCCTCAGCCTCCTGAGTAGCTGGGATTACAGGCACGCGCCACCATGCCCAGCTAATTTTTTTTTTTTTTTTGTAGTTTTAGTAGAGACGGGGTTTCACCATGTTGACCAGGATGGTCTTGATCTCTTGACCTCGTGATCCACCCGCCTCGGCCTCCCAAAGTGCTGGGATTACAGGTGTGAGCCACCGCGCCCGGCCTGGGGGAAATTTTTGAGAACTAGTAAAACTATGGCTGTGGGAATACCCAGCATTGCTAAGATAAAAAATGGGTGGCTATGAAAAGCCATCGAGGAGCTGGTGCTGTTATCAGGTGGCAGGCGCAGTATTATATGAGTCTAAATAACTATTTGATAATGCTGTTTGCACCTACATATTATCACTTAAGGGTGACAGGGGTTATAGAAACAGCAGGATCCTTTCAGAAATATCCAAAACCTGTTCTATGCATCCAGACAAGGGACAATCATTTGACCAGAAACTGAAAATTGTGCTTCCTTGGGTTCCAGTGTGACAGACCTGAATGCCTTCAGGTATTCACATTTTAAACTTAAAAAAACTATTTTGGATGGCCGGGCGCGGTGGCTCACGCCTGTAATCCCAGCACTTTGGGAGGCCGAGGCGGGTGGATCACGAGGTCAAGAGATCGAGACCATCCTGGTCAACACGGTGAAACCCCGTCTCTACTAAAGCTACAAAAAATTAGCTGGGCATGGTGGCGCATGCCTGTAATCCCAGCTGCTCAGGAGGCTGAGGCAGGAGAATTGCCTGAACCCAGGAGGCGGAGGTTGCGGTGAGCCGAGATCGCGCCATTGCACTCCAGCCTGGGTAACAATAGTGAAACTCCGTCTCAAAAAAAAAAAAAAAAACTATTTTGGGGGTTGGGCATGGTGGCTCATGCCTGTAAGCCCAGCACTTTGGGAGGCCGAAGGGGACAACCACTTGAGCCCAGGAGTTGAGACCAACCTGGGCAACGTTGCAAGACCCCATTACTATTAAAAAAACATACTAGCCAGGCGTGGTGTGGTCCCCAGGACCTTGGGAGGCTGAGATGGGCAGATGGCTTGAGGCCAAGAGTTCAAGGCTGCAGTGAGCTATGATTGCACCACTGCACTCCAGCCTGGGTGACAGAGACCCTGTCTCAAAAAAATAAAAAATAAAAAATAATAAAATAAAATTGAGGGAGGCAGTGGGGATTTGGAAGGGGGAAATTCTAGGGAAGCCATTTTGCTATACCTCATAGACTCCCCTGCCAGATAAAAAGAATGGAGTCTTGGACTGAGATTTGATTCCAAATCTGAGATTTTTCATTAGAAAGAGGTAAAATCTCTATGCCCCAACGACAACAGTCAAATTAAAAAAAAATAATAAGTTGGGTGCAGTGGCTCATGCCTGGAATCTCAGCACTTTGGGTGGCCAAGACAGGTTGATCACTTGAGACCAGGAGTTCAAGACCAGCCTGGCCAACATGGCAAAACCCTGTCTATACTAAAAGTACAAAAACTAGAAGGGTGCACACCTGTAATCCCATCTACTCAGGAGAAATTGCTTGAACCTGGGAGGCAGAGGTTGCAGTGAGCTGAGATCATTCCAGTGCACTCCACCCTGGGCAAGAGACCAAGACTCTGTCTCAAAAAAACAAAACAAAACAAAACAAACCTCAATCAATCAATCAACCAATGAACCTAAATGGTTTCCCACATGGGCAGCACCAGACCCCAGACCCCTTAAGCACCTTCATTTTCTTGGCGTGGAGTTTCTCTTCCTTCAGGTGCTCACGCAGAATCTCTCGATGGTTTACCTCCTGTTCTTGGGCAAACTCACAGAGTGTGTAGCTCCGTACAGAGTTATGGCGCTGAGCCATGCCCAAAGAGCTACCACCCTGGCTGGGCACGCTGGTGAAACCCTGGCGCCGGGCAAAGTAGTATACAGTCACCTGGTCAAAGCGTACATTCTTCCTCCGCAGCTGCTTCTGCCGCTTCAAGATGGATGTGGCTGAGAAGGGAGCACAGAGAGACGTTTATTATTATTATTATTATTTCTTTTTTTTTGAGACAGAGTCTCACTCTGTTGTCCAGGCTGGAGTGCAGTGGCGCCATCTTGGCTCACTGCAGCCTCTGCCTCCCAAGTAGCTGGGATTACAGGCGTGTGCCACCACGCCCAGCTAATTTTTGTATTTTATAAGAGACGGGGTTTCACAATGTTGGCCAGGCTAGTAGTCTCAAACTCCCGACCTCAGGTGATCTGCCCACTTCAGCCTCCCAAAGTGCTGGGATTATAGGCGTGAGCCACCATGCCCGGCCAAGAGATGTTTTATTAACTCAGGGAGGACCTGTTTGGGGAGCTTGTTCTTTCTCATCCATCTAGGCTCTCAACTCTTCTCTAACCATGCTCCCTATGCCTAGAGAACCGTCTAATATCTTCAAATCCTAAATGCTCTTTTGGAAGGGACCTTGAACCTCAGCTGGTTCATACCACTGCCTCCATACTGACTACACCTAAACAGATGACCACAAAATCCATTTTTAGACATCACCTGGGAAGAGGATCTCTAGGTAATCTTTTGTGGATATGACAATCTATAGCTTTACTCTCCAATACTGCAGCTGCTAGCCACATGTGGCAATTTAAGCTAATTAAAATTAAATTTAAATTTCAGCTCCTCAATGATACTAACCACATTTCTTTATTTTCTTTTTTCCTCTGAGACAGGGTCTTACTCTGTCACCCAGGCTCGAGTCCAGTAGCACAATCATGGCTCACTGCAGCCTCAACCTCCCAGGCTCAAGTGATGCTCCCACCTTGGCCCCCAGAGTAGCAGGGACTATAGGTGACTGCCACCACATCCAGCCAATTTTTGTATTTTTCGTAGAGACGGGCTTTCGCCATGTTGCCCAGGCTGGTCTCAAACTCCTGAGTTCAAGTGATCTACTGACCTCAACCTCCCAAAGTGCTGAGGTTACAGGCGTGAGCCACTGTACCCAGCCACTAACCACATTTCAAGTGCTCAATAGCCACATATGGCAACTGGCTACAGTTGGACAATGGTGATACAGAACTTTTTTTTTTTTTTTTTTTTTTTTTT